GAAAAGGATAACCTTCCAAACTAGCGGATCTGCGTGTATCATGTGTGGTATGTACGGGTAGGTGTGCACAGAGAGAGAGGGGATACGACTAGAACGTAATTATATTCGTAATGTCCAGAGGCTTTAGAAACACGCGTATGTCCTCCTCTTACGAAGGTCGCGTATATTGGCCCACGAATCTCGACGCGACAAAAGTCCAGGATCATAGGAAAGGAACGATCAATCCTCTAGATTTACAGAACAAGTTTTACATCATGGTCTCCCTACAACTGGTCATGCTATCGAAATCTAATTGTAAGTAAGGGCAATTGTTTTCGCAGAGGGCCGCGCTGCCGGTAGCAGCGGCTGGCCCGTTACACCAACCCTCAGGGTGTAAGGTGCTTGTAAGGTAACACAGTACATCTAAGATTTCGTTAATGCGCTAGGAGCCCGGGTTCGCGTCCTCGCTGCTCCTCCGCCTGGCCTCCAGTTCCTGGGCGAGCATAGCTATTTCCCAGTTATTATGCCCTTCCCGATGCACTTCACTCTCCTCGTCATCGTCGCCATCATTCTCACTGTCGCTTCTTTCTGGTCTGTCGTCGAAGTCTTCCTCGGATCTACTGCTCTCGCTGTTCGACTCGAGATCGATCGCCACTTCGTCTTTCCACAAATTTTGCGGAACGATCGAGCTAGGCAGTTCCTGAAGCTCTAATGTTTCTTCCTCGGAGTGCTCTTCCCAGGATCTTCGATTATGAGAACTGGACTCTGTAGACGTTGAGGAACGCTTGTAACGCGGATGAGTAGCTAGGACTGTGTCCACTGAACCGTCTCTCATGAATGGGTGATCCTCACGATCGTCCTCCAAATCTTCCTCTAATGACGCATCGTGCTCTGTGCTATCTCCCAATGACTCGTCTGCGTTTCTCGACTCTTTTTGTTCTAGTTCTAGTATTCTTGCTTGAAGCTGCGATATTATTTCATCCCGTTTGCGGATTTCTAGCTCCAATGAAGTGAACTGTCGCTCGAATTTTGTCTGAATGTTCTCCTGCAATTTTATTGATATATACGCATGTTAGTTAGATATACACATGGGAAATATAGGACAGGTATCGATTTTGGAGTTTGGGATTAAAGATTAACTATGTGACGCTACAAGTTGCTATTCTAGCTGACTTTGAGTATTAAATTACGTTGTAACATGATTTCCATTTTTTTTTTTTTTGTAAAAAGTAGTATTTTGAAGTATTTATTCAGTATTGATGAAATTTCATTTGAAATAATCTTTTGATAAATTTAAGTATGTAATTGATTGATAGATTATTCTATAGACTAGTAGATTATTTCAGACTTTTTTCAATATAATTGTAATAAATAATTTTCAATAATATCAAATTTTCAATAATCATCAGATTCTACAATTTTTCTATCCAAGACATTTTTGAAATGCTATTAAAGTAGATAGAATGTGTTTTTCTGTCATCTTCTGTACCAAGATATTTTACATATAATTTAAAAAATTTTTAAATTAAGAAATTTAACTTTGTATCTCAAAATTTGTTGCTGGAGTCATATATTTTTATCTCATTCTAAAAAATTATTAGGTTGAATAATAAATTCATTCACAAACTTCATTCTTAATCTTTTAGCCGCGTGTGACGAAATATTTAGTTATATGTACTTATTACGTACATATACATAGTTCGTCACAATGACATAATTATAGACGTGACGATATGTTTCGTTATCACGAAGTCTTACGAAAATAATTAATGTAAATATAACTATTTACACGGGAAAAATAAATAAATATAAAATTTATCCAATCAAGTATAAAATAATTTATTCATTTTATAAATGAAGTATCAAATAATTTATTTATTCTATTACTCTAGAAATATACAGGGTATCTCAAACTTAAATGACTAACCTGCGAGAGCTTAATCTACGAGCAAAAAGAATAAAAAATGTTATATAAAATTCGTCAGCAAATGAAAAGAGAAAACGTATAAACAAATTTAAATAACATTATATAAACAAATATTGTATGCATAAAATAGACAGCAATACATTTTCCGTTACAGCATACGTTGTATTATTGTGTCGACGTTGTATATATGTTTTTTTGTATACAGTAACAATTTCATTGATAGTCATAAATTCTTACAATTTTTAATTCTTTGTTTCAAAATGTTTTCCTTATGTTTTTATCCATGAATAATGAAATTAATAACACTACGAAATACTTGAGAATTTTACTAATTGTGATTTCAATATTCAATTATTTTAAAGATGAATAGAAATCAAATGTTCAAATGGTAAAGAAAAATGTATTGCTAAATCGCTACTTCTTTCATACATACAAAATATTTTTTTATATCTGCAATTAGGCTTTTGCTGACAAATATTACACAACATTCTTTCTTTTTGCCTGTAAATTAAATCTTCGTAATTTGGCTATTTAAATTTGGAATACTCTTTATATTTCTTGTTAAAAAATTCAACTTGCATTTTTATAAATTTTAGATCATTTTTGCAATCTACTTAAATTTATATATTAAATAGAGGCAAACCAAGTTATCTCAACTCAACCCAACAATTCTTCAGGAATGAGCTCATTATCAGTTATTGTGTTAGCAATATTGTTTTTAACACGACGAGTATTTAGATTTGCATAAAACTGATAGTTTTACTTGATTTGTAGTATTGACATAATATTATAAATATAACATATTCATGTTTGAGAACATAACGAACATGCATAGATGTCATTGGTTAAACATTGTATGCTAGTATGCTAACGAGCAATATATTTGTAAATAGGGAATAGCATGCAAACAGAACAAGGATGTCGTCGCGATGCAAACTTCTTGCAAATTCAGTGAATGTGAGAGAAGTCTACATCAAAATGGTTCTGAAGTTGGCAACTTTAAAGCCAATATCTCCAAGGGAAATTACAGATAACCAAAGGATTTTGTAGAACCTTCCCTAGGAAATATCCTTCTTGTGAACAATATTTGTTGATATCCTCGTTAATTTCACAAATGACTTTCACAAGTTTAACTATCTTCTTGAAATAAAAGATCTAAAGTTAAACTTTTGATTTTACAAAAACTCGAAGTGTCAAACTTTAATTCATATTTAATTCTTATGAATAAAAAAAGGTGTTCAAATTCTTTGAAAAAAATGTTTGACTTGATTTTTGTTGTCAGTAATCACTTACAGCTTTTTCATTTCTTACCAGTATTTTATTACTAGTTATTTTATTATTAGTTACTTTTATAATTAGATTTATAATTAATCATCATTAAGGCTCAATTTAATTACACTCGATCATATCAGTACAGACTATATCGTTCTAGATTATATCAATTATTATTATTTTATCGTCTTCACTTGCACTGCTTCGACTCATGTTATTTCAACAACATATCCCAATTCTTTTTATTTTGCTCAACAAATTTCTTCTCATTTTTTCCTAGATAGTTTGCTATGTGTATGAAGCTTAATTCGAACTAGTTTCAACAAACTGTGCTGCGTAACGAGGGAGGAAATATAAAAATTAGCCACCCACCAGACGGTCCTTAACGACTTCTCTGATACCAGTGACTAGCTCCCCCAAGTATTCTTCTTCTCGTGGCCGAGATACTATTTGCAGGATACCTCCGCTGCCCAAAGGACGGAAACTGAGTTTATTGGGCGGTGGCAGTGAGGCCTGCTCTTGGGAGTCGGACAATTGTGGCCCAAGCGGATAATTTGCCGGGAATTGCTCGGACGGCGGGCTCTGCAGCGTATATTTATTAAATGTCACGCTTTTGGAGAGTTTCGAGTGCCGTGCCGCGTAACCCTCTATCGTGGGTGCCCTCATCAATTTCCTCAATTCAGCGGTGGCTGCTTCGCGATCCGGTGTGCTCGTCGCCGAGGTCTCGGAGCTTCCGGTTCTACTGCCGGCCGACAACTTCTTCAATATGCTTTTCAGGTTCCGCCTTTCTAGCGTCTCGTTCTCCGGTGAAAGTTGATCCGTGGGCGATATCGATGCCATTCGATTCTGGGAAATATGATGTTTCGAAAGAATTTCAATTGGTATTGTTAAAAATTAGGTATTGACATTATCCGTGATAATAACATTGATTTAACATAAAGGCTATAATCTATCAGTAATTACACATTTCTTCTTCTTCATTTGTTAACTGAATTTCTTGATAACGAGGGGAAGGTATGTTTGTTCTACCAATCGATCATGTTGCTCGAGTTCATATTGTGAATCGTGTTTGAATTTTATTTTGTTATGTAGATATTTTGAAAGAATTGTAAATGGGGCCAGTTGTTTCGTTATTTTTAACGTATATTAATCCAGTAGAGAAATAATGCTCTACCTATTATTGAGAAACAATAAAGAATAAAAAAATATATGGGATGTTATTTTATCAGAAAATGCACAAGAATAGTAGATACTTTATAGAACATATTAATCTCAAGAAATAATCATTTAAATTAATTATAATTTCAATTTTTCCAAACATATGAAATTCTACAACATTATTATAATAATAAGTGAAAGTCCTTTAAACAGGATTTGATGTTATGTTAACGCAACGTTTATCTCACCTAATTGTAATGAATAACTTTCAACTTGTATATCTTGGACTATTTTAGATGTCATACATTGTCAAAACTTCACTATCAAGTAACATATGATATTAGATTGAATCTTATAATTTTAAATTTAAATTATAATTATTGAACTTATATTGATTACTTATATTGAACTTATAATTATTGAACTTATTATTTTAAATTTAAATATTTTATTCAAGTATTTCGCTAAAGAATTTATATAGGATCTTTCGTAAGTTTGCATCAATGCAGAAAGTGGTCCATTTTGAAATGAGAATTTAAAATTTTTTAAAATCGATTTTAAAACGATCTCACGTATCATCAAATATTTTTGAATTCGTTGTTGCATTTATATATTTACGTTATGTTCAATATTTACCTATAACTCTGTAACAAAGCGTTTACGAACAGATTTTAAATGACATTTTTTTTCTTATTTTCGATTGTAAATTACGATCTCGATTGCAAAACGTAAAAACATCTTGTATATATATTTTTGTCTCGCCAAAATTAATTTGTAGTTATTTAGACAAGAATGAGAAATTTTGTAAGCAGGATGAAGCGAATAAATCAGGCAAGCGCAATACTGAATGGCAGAACTTTCACATTCACGTTTGAAGTCGATCGGCAAAGTTTCCGATGTTTAGGAACTAGTATCGACTATTAGCAAGCTAAATACCGTAACAATACTCGGACACAATACAGTGAGATCTAAATTCGCGATTATTGGATTACTATCTCAACATCGATCGATATTACCTTTCACTATACATTTGAACATGTTGTATCTTCATTTCAACATTAGTTTCCGATTAGAATTTTCTTCTAACACGCTAAGCTTTGTACATGAAACTATAAGCCAACCGGTTTGGTAGTTCGACGTTGAGCCTCACAGTTTATCAACATGTGAAATCGGGAAAAAAGGTAGCTTCAACTCACCTGATTAAATTTCTCCAATTTCCTAGCATATTCGATCGCGCAAGCCTCCGAGTGGCTTCTCGTCAAGTTCCCATCGAATTCGAGCTCGGTGTTTTCTCCGCAATCTAAACTGGAACTCCTAACAGCTTTCTCAAGTTCGGCCAACTTCTGCCTCTCGTTAAGTATCTTCAGTTTCTTGACGAATGGTAAACCGCAGTACTCCGGCGAAAGATCGTCTACGGACGCGTACATCTTAGTCTGCTGTCTCAGGTGTACTAAACTCTGTCTGACTTGTAACCTCTTTGTCGGTGGACTTCTCTGCGGCGAATTTTCTTTGTTCGTTAACGAGGCGTCCTTCAGCATTGCCCACGGTTTCTTCACGTTCGAGCCATTCGTGTTCTGCGTGTTCTGCGAAGTTGTCGGCGATTTAACGGCCTGTTCTACGGTAGTTTGGATCGACGGTTGTTTTTGAAACTGCTTGCGAGTCTGCTTGGGCGATTGTTGCTGCGATTCCTCTAGTACACTGTTCCTTGGGAGCAAAGGCTCCTTGGTGGGTGCTTCTTTATCAGCCTCTTTGGCCTCTTGTTCGTTCTTCGCCTTCAGCAGTAATATCCTCTGAAGAAACGGTAAATTCGGGTTCATAGGGTTTTGGGCATCCGACGGTGGTTGTTGTTGTTCAGGCGTGTGCACTTGCGTTTCCATAAGATTCCGACGTTCCTCTCGTTCCTCTTTTTCCTTTAACAATCTTAATCTGGCAAGCAGAGGCAAACCGGCACCCAAAGGCGAGACAGGTGGTTCTTGAACGTTCGACGCGGATGCGTCTTGACCGTCGTCGATTTTCTGCTGCCTCTTCAGCGTCGACAGCTTCGACGTTAATGGTTGTAGCTCTAGGCTTTCCTCGGGCCTGGTATTTCGTCTGCTCTTTCTCAGTGCGTTCTTCAGACCCTTTACGTCACTCTTCAGTTTGTCAACGATTCTTTTACCCGTGCTATTATCCGACGAATCGTGACCAGGTGACGTTGGTTGTCTAGATGCTCTGGCTACCTTCTGCGCCTCCATCAGACGTTTCCTGCCGAGATTCTGGAGGATTTCTTGAGCTTCTGGATAGTCTTTCATCGCTGCTAAAACATCCTCGCGCGAGAGGCTGAATAATTCCGAATAACCTACCGAACGAACATCGGCTGTGCGTCTGTAATCGAGAATGTATTCGTTAGATGGGTCGAAATCTAATCTTCTTAATTTGAAATTTCGATGGCTTGAAATTGGCTGAGGCGCGCCACATTTCAAGTTGACGTAGAATTAAAATAAGTAAGATCACGAAAGATTCTTATCAAGAAAACACACAATGAAAAGCATAATTCAGCCAATGACGGTGAAAAATTGTCGAACTGATATAACTTTGTAACAAAAGATTATACAACGATCTACTTAGTTTTATTTTAAAGCGTCTCTAGTTTGACTATGTCTGAGTTGTCGCTTTTTTCAAAGATTATTATTTTACATCGTATTACGAATGGGAAACTGAGAATACTTTTCTCTCGGAAATTGTAAAAATTCGAACGTCTGTAAAAACTAATAATGTATTTTACATAGATTATTATTTTGTTAATAAAGAAATAAAACTCGATGAATTTAATTTTATTATTCATGATATGAAGTTTATACTTTTATCGCAATATTTTAATTTTTTTTTCAAAAGAGAGATATTTTTTTGTATTGTACAATTTTGTGTTATATCAGACTAGAATATTGTAATAAATTTCATGTATTAATTATTTCGCACTAGTTTCATCGCACGATTTCATTTCATTTTAAATTCATTATATTATTAGCTTTTGTAACTGAATTAATTTCTGGATTGTGTTTCTATTGCGAGAACTATAAAAACAATTAGATGTGAATTAAAATATTTGATGAAAGATTATAAGTTAGTATGTCCAAAATAATTAACACTAATTTTAAAATTAACTTTTCTCTAAAGGAAGACAATTATATGGATATTTATAATTGTACGATTATAGCAATATAATTCATTTAGTGTATTTCTAATATAATTGTTCGGTTGTTAAATACATAAATAATAATATAAAATACATAGGTATATGAAATTGTTAAATCGAAACGAGAAATGAAATTTGAGATAACCATGTTTCGGAGATTCTGAACGATGAAACAAGAAAGTAGGATGAGTTATATTATGTGTCAGGATTAGAAAGCGAGAAAAATACGAAGCTGAGAGGATTTATCGATTGTAGTTTCGGCTATTACAGCATTTTTATTATAGCTATTTTGTATAAATTATATTATCGTACAAATTTTTCACAATTTAAATCTATTTATCAAATCACAATTTAAGTTAAATTAAATATAGTTATATATATATATATATATATTTTTTTTTTTTAATATTTTTTGAGATAGTACGATTATTTAGTGGAAGATGAAATAGCAAATCAAAGGTATAAAGTTTCTTTAAAACTTTCAGCAAGTACCTAAGAATATTGTTTTGAATTAAATTAAATTAAAATTAAATTATCGAATTAAATTCAATTAATGTGTTGACGATATAATATTACTAAATTAATTTCGTTTAATTTTTCAAATATGTGAAAATAGTATGTCATAATGTCGTGAACGATTTAATTAAGTAATTTCTAACGATACTTTATAATTTACTTAATTAAATGTCTCTCTATAATTGCTATTGATACAACATATATCTTACGTATCCCATAGATATATTCTATTGTTAACAACTTTATTGTAATTGGATGTATATTCTATTACAATTAACAACTTTATTATAATTGGACAAACGTATGTTTTTAGAAGACTTGAACGTTTTATTTCATGAAGTAGTGTTCAAAATTGGAGTACATGAAAGCAGAACAAAAGTTAGAAATAGGACAGCAAGTATTTTACATTACTTACTTGTTTAATCCGTCTAGATTGAGAATCCCAATTTCTCCAAAGAAGTCTCCGGCTTTCATAGTTGTTAAAACTCTTCCCGTTTCGCTAATCACTTCTAAAATTCCGTCGGCTATTATGAACATTTCCCTAGCTACTTCCCCTTTTCGACATATCGAGTCGCCAGGTGTAAATATATAAGCCTTCATTTTCAGCACCAGATCATGTAAAAATTCGGGTTGACATTCCTATAAGCATAGACAAAAATAAGTTGTGAATCGATTTGCTCAAACAATTAATAAATAATGCAAATTAAATACTGAACTTGAACATTTTGATTGTAATTATTAGTTAATGTTAATCCTTTCAGCAATATCTCACATATTTGGGGGTCAAATAAAATACAAATAGACATATCATACATAAGTCTAGTTATGTATTTATTTATTTTATATTATCATTTCTTTAAATCTTAACTTAACGTAAAGGAAATGGTATTTAACAGAAACGTGATATATATACATTGAATGTAAATTGTATTGTACGTTTATCCATATTTCTAAGAATGTTATATAATATATAGAAATATCTGAATTTTGAATTATACTTTTAATATGTTTAGAGTAAATTTTTTATTGTTATATTTGATTTCTTTGTGCCATAAATACATATATATCGTACGTAAATCATTTAATCAGATATATATGAATATATGAAATAAGAAAAAAATTTTTCATCTTATTAAATGAAGTGTTTCTAAAAAATTACATACTCAGGATTAAAAGAGTTCACGAAGTACTAAATAATGCATTTTGTAATGTAAATGAAAAATTTTCACTGAAAACTAATTAGCGAACAGTTGTAATTCAGATTCTTTAGTGAAACGTTTACAATCGTATAATCATAATACATAGTAATGTGAACATATACATCATTAGGTTTGGAAATATTCTAAATAATAGATGTATCAGAATAGAAAATTTATGCCAGAAAGTTCTATAAAAATATTCAAGAGTAAATAATTTAATAGAAATGAAATTTGAATTTACCATTTTAATTATAATATAATTAATTAAAATATGTATTTATATAAAATATGCAAGTATGCATAAGAAATATGCAAAATAAATGAGCAATGTATTCTGATATACATAAATTTGATATATATTGCAATACTATAGTAATCATTTTGATGTGTTATAGTTTGTACTACAGTAAATATTTCATCTAAATTTTCAGTTGTGCACTGATACGTATGTATAAAAAATAGTGCTGTATGTAAAAAATATCGTATAATAATCCACTGAATCTTATTTTAAAATGTTTAAATCTTTATTTTAATAGCTCATATAATTCCATTCGTTATTTTCAAAATATCTTAGTTTTCGAAAATTGTGAAAATCCAAATGTTTCCAAAATTATTGAAAAATTTTTAGATTTACTATGATTTTAAAGATTAAAGTCTCCTTTCTACAAGAAGTTGTACGATTTTTTTTCGCTATGTTATTGAATTTTATGTTAGAAATATTAGAAATAGACGAAATATTAGGATTTCTTAAATCCCACTTTAAGACGATGCCAAGTAGATTATTGTATAATGTTTTTTGAAGAAGTTTACGACGATTTAAAGTATCGAGAACTCTTCATCGAGTGTCTCTGTATAATTATATAATTTTGTATAATTTGAGCCAAAGGTAATGAAGCGATAAATTTAATTAAAATGATTCATTTGATCTGACAAAATTGAAACGCAAATACTGCATCTCAATTTATTTAACAATTGAAAATTGTAAATATACGATTCCATGTGATCTGTAAATGACATTGATTACGTTAATGCTTCATAGCTATGATTTCACTTACAATTGAATAAAATAAATATCTCATATGAAAGTAGATATACAATATTTTTGTATGTTCTTAAATATAAATCAATAACTGTACAGAAAAACGCTATATGTTATATGCTCTCATTTTTTAGTATCACATTGTCGTTTAAAATTCTTCATTTAATACAGTTCTTCTTATTAGCAATATCTCCTTGTTTTTTTTTTTTAACAATATAAATTTCCATTCGTTTTTATGTATCGTCATAAATTTTATGTTTCATAATTCAATAATGGATAAACGCAAATTTTTTTTTTTAAATTTGCGGCGTTTTTCTTTACAACTACAGGAATATGTAAGACACAATTTTGCACGATATAAAAACTGCAAGATGAAAAATACATTTCTATACTCTTTCGATCACTCTCAACTTTCATTCAGATTTCATTTCTTCATTTGCATCTTATAGTTTATTTCTATCCATTTTTAGTTTTAGTTTTTTTAGTTTATTTCTATCCATCGTTTCATTTTATCCTTTCGTAGAGAGCACAATAATTTATATGATTCGATTTTGAGCTCACCAGAGAGATGCACACTGTTTACAACTTCCTGTGCCAAGCGATTTCTTCTTGCGTAAACGATTTACAATAGACTTCGTTAAAATACGATCAACGAAATGACGAATAAGTACCACGCGTATAGATGATTATATAAATACAGAGTATGATATGGTAATGAAAAGACATTAAAGGTTTGATTTTGCTAGCTTCATTGAGGCAAACGGCAGCGGTAATTAAAACTCACATAAATGTGCCAATTACAGTGGACAGTAATGACAGGTTGTAAAAAATGTCTTCTCTTCTGCCTGCGAACGGTTTACCTGTGAATTGCGCCTCTGTGAGCGTTACAGTTGTATCTGTGGGATCTTCATTATACAGATATGGCGTGTTTTTCATCATAGAATCGTGAGAGATCAAATATCAGTCGACTTTTGAAATTTAAATTAATTACTGTCCTTTTGTCTTTGTTAAACGATATCAGAGTTGAACATTGTTCGAATGATTTTGATAAATATTTTGTTTGAAATAGTTATTTAAACATACTTTTTTTTCTAGTCGGACACTTTATCAGTTAGATAGTTATTCGTTAGTGAATGAAAATGAAACTTGACTTTTTATTTTTATTCCTTACCCGTCATTCGAATGAAATTTTGCAAAATAACTGAATGAACATAATATATTAAGAATTAACGTAATTCTTCTTTCACAGATTTGTCATCTTTTTCTTCTTAAATTTTTGTACAAAATTTTCTTTACATTTTCGCATTGTATGCATTTTCAAAACTTACGACTTCAATATACTGAAACACGTTAGAATTTCGAAAGAAATATATATAATAATACGATTCTTTCATATATATTTGAATTAAGTATAATTAAAGTATAATTAAGTGTAATTAAAGTATAATTAAAGTATAATTAAGTGTAATTAAGTATAATTAAAAATGAAAATTATGATTGTAATACTCTCTGTGTTTATATTCACATCATCGACATATGTTTATATATGAAATACACAAAAAAGAGATTCTCTCGTATAAATTGATTAGAATAATATAGCATTTATGCAATATTATAATATTATAATATAGCATTTGTGCAATAACTAAAATAACAATATCTTTTTTGTCTCTTACTGTTAGCATGTTGTTAGTAATTTTAGTAATCACTGTGTTAAATCTAAATCTGTATAACATGAAAGTTTCTGCATTGTCTTTCATTTTCTGTTATGTATTTGTAACTGTTGTAGAATTAATCCTATTGGACTTTTATATTATATTTTTATTTTTAATCATGTTGTTTTCTTATTTTTACTTTTGTGCATTTTTATTGTTATATTTCTAATACCATTGCATTCAAAATTAACACATGAATAAATTAAATTGAATCATTTACTTTTTTCTCAGAAGATTTGTTTCACTTAGAAAAGCAAAAAGTGTACCAGGATTTTAAGAGTAAAAAACAACAACGGGGAATTAAAAATATTCACGTATTCTATAAAACGAAAGTAATTTCACATTTCACGAATGAAGAATTATTTCTTATCGTAATGGAGGATTAGTTGTTTAAATTGCCTTCAGTTTTTAAAATTATCTTTCTATTATTTCTGGCACTTCTCAATATTGCTTTGAACATTTTGAATTATATGAATATTTGAATGTTAATTCGTTGGAAGAGTAAGGGAACTGTCTGTTTAATTTTCAAGGTCAACCGATAGAATATCTTCACGCATATTAGCCGATATGATCGCATACGCAAAGTGACTGAAATTAGCATCCCTCTTATTGATTCCTTGAAGACGACCTTGTGGTTTCTGCTTTCGCATAGGATGATATTGAGACGAAGGATTCTCGTGAATATTAACAGATGCTTGTGTCGTTAAACGTGTACAGAGACGCATTCAAGCATAGTGCAGGCTCATTAAACATAACAAACAGATATAACATTAATATTGGAAAGGTAAAAGCATGACGTAATCATTTTCATTTAGATATCGTGACCTTTCGCTTCTTCCATTCTGAATTTCCATGCTTCTTCTCGTTCTTATTTCTTCGTTTCTTCTTTTTTTTTTTTCGAAAATATCGAAATATTACAAACATCATAATTATTCTAAACATCGTACCTTAAGGTTGTTTAAACGTTTGCTCTTTGGGAGTTTTTATGGTATGATCGATCGTCATTTCCTTCATTCTTCTGTGAGGAAATTTCTTTTGAAATCGAGGATTTTCTCTTGAAAGGAAGAAGATTATAAATATTTATAAATCTATTTATTACATTAAAAAATCTTCTTTTTTTTAAATATTTGTCAATATACAATAGAAATGATTACAGAAAAACAATTTTAGTATCGCACCGATGGACATCAACGAAGGATAAAATGTCAAAACAAGAATTTTTAATAATAAAATTATCCCCAAATCTTGGTATCCATGGCTCCTACAGTTTGAAAAAAAAAAGCAAAAGTTTGTTCAATGTATTTCTCTTTGAAACATCCTTAATTGCACGCTATTCATTCAACGTTCCTTTCATCGGCGTTCAAATGTCAAAGGTCGTGGTACGCGCGAGTTACTTTCATCGTAAAGATTTCCACTCATCATTTTTAACCACCCGAACGAACAATGTCGAGAACAAATCTTAAGTGGCATTTTGAAATCAGCTTCTTTTTACATCTGTCCCGTTCGTTTTCTTTCTAGGTGTTTCCCTTAGGATTTCAAATTTTCTTTCCGAGGCCCGTTTCGTGACATTTCGTTGTTTCAACTCGCGTCCGGACAGGCGAACTCACATTCGTGACAAACTGGCGCAGCTTTTGCAGCGGATGTACTCGAGCACATCGGGAGAAATTGTCCTCGGCGCTGGCCTTATGGTGCCAGACGCTTCTACTGTCAGCTGTTTGTTAAATCTGCGACGAGCCGTAAATGTTCTCGTTGTGTATTCGCCGATATATGTCACCTGTCTCGAATGAAATTATTCGATTGTTGTCTGAAGAAAAATGTCTGAAGATGTCACGAAGAATATCAAAGCAGTTGAATGAAAATTCAAATGTCAAAATTTGGGGGAATTTGTAGAGGATCAATTAAATTGAGAAAGGAAAGTCCTTTAGACGCAAAAAAGGAAACAAAAAAGTTTTTGTTTCTCCATTTATTTATTTACACTTATTCGTGTTATTACCTATTTTATCATCCACATTAACATGAAATTTCAAAATATCCTATATAATATGCTTAAAACTAAAGAAATAAATTATATTCCTTGCTACTTGCATTTTAGCGAAGTATATCACATTTTTGAAGTAATATAAATCAATGTCTAAAGAATTATCTCAAGAATTTTGAAACAGTTCTAAGAAAGTCGGATAAAACCTTCAAAAGTAATAGCTCCACTATGATAAAGTGTACTATATATCTTAAATGTTGTTCAAAGATTTATTTGTTATCTGGTGAATCGGTTGAAGGAATTTGAAGAGGGTTTTAAAAATTGGGCGAACATTTTCAACATGATATTTTATGGTACATTCTATACCGTTTGTTAGTTAGTTATAATAAGAGATTTTTTTGTTTTTCTTTGGAGTTGCTCGTATTTCTTTTGATACAAAATAAGATGAAGTACGTGCGAGATCTCTCTTGGAAAATATAATATTGGAGTGTACAATTTTGTGTGATGGAATGATTTTCTAAATTAACATAATGCATACGTGTTAATACCGGTGTAATGTGAATCTTATACCATACTATGTGAAAGGGATTACTATGTGTATATAACTGCAGCTTTCTATGAGATGAAATGTGTTGTAAAACAGAATTATGAAGTGAAACTCGTGTCATTAAACTTCGAAATCATTAGTTAATTAATATTAATTAATTAGTAATATTAATATTAGTTAATAATATTATTGAATATTTGATAATTCTATTATTCTTCAATTTAAGTATTCTCTGTCTTGTATTGAATATAAAATTACTGTTTTATAATACAAAAGATATTTTTAATATCTATTGACAAATAATTTTTAACAAATTTATTTTAGATAGGCTTGCTTATATTATTGTTAAAATTTAGAACACAGATTTAATGTAATTACATAAATCTTTTTAATATGATTACGTAAAAGGGTTCATGTTATAGGTTAAATATTAAAAATTTTTCATGAAATGATAATTCTCTGATAATGATAATAATCTAATTTGATTAAAATCAGTTTCTACGCCATTCTTTTCGATCAAACTTGAAATATTTTCTTCAAAAATATTAATTTAAATATTACTAAGTTTTTAAATGAACTAACTTTTACATTTCAATGTTTCTGATATATATCTGTTCAATTATTCAAATATTTTAGTCTTTTATCGTTGTTGGCATTTTACAAATTTTACGCAGTCTATATAGCATGTTTGAAGGGAAAGACACTAGATTTATAATGCAGAAGTGATTATAATTATTTTGACTAAAATAAAACGATTCACGACAAGCGGTTTACGTTGCAGAATTTTTCGAGTTTTATTATTATATATAATTATATACTATAATTATTATCTCGATCATAACACGTTCTAAATTTTCGTTCAAATTTCGTCCGAACCTTTGGATGATCGGTAAAGGTTTTCCATCTTCTCACTTTGTTGATTCTAAAAGTTGAATAACAGAACTCCGTTTATATGAATTTTATTTGTTTAAATCAAATTTCAGACAACTTTATATCATCAAATGAACTCTCGTTGGTTGAATTCATTTATTTGAACCTGTTGTATGAATGAAGAGACACTAAGTAAAGGGGAAAATCAATCCACTTTTACAATATTATATGAACATCAATTATATAAAATATTTGTATTCCAACAAGTTCATATGAAACTGCGGGTTTTCACTGTATTTACTTTTATCGTTCTGATTAGAAAAAGTTATAGTTTTCGTTAGAAAAAAAAAAAACATTTTCTATCAACGTGAAAGAACCAAGAAGATTTTGCAACTGAGCGTGCGAGCTTATAATTTCGAGCAAGCTTAAAAATAACACCCCTCAGCTGTTCTATAGTTTATAAAAATATTTTCTTCTTGTATGTGTCTGCTTTATAGATAAATATCTGTATTTATTTTTATTTTTATTTTTGTAATAACGAGCCAGTTGTTTAAGAACAAGTAATATAAAATATATAGAATTTTTATTCATCTCTTTGTTACTTTTGAATTCATGTTGTTCATTAGCTTTCATAGTACTTAAATGGAAGTGTCTATTTTACAGATGTCACGTTCCATCAAATTCTTTCCAGATTTATACGTTTGTTTTGTGATCAAATGGGTCGTAACGAGAAAACACGAAAACTCATTCATTCAAACAAGGAACAAACATTGAACGTAAATTCATGCGTGGAAATGTATTTTTTGTACTTCAACATGACAGTTTT